GAGGTGATACTTGTTGCAACGTATAACTTTGGCTTTCGTTGACTGATCATGGGGTTAGGGATAAATTGTGTGCAGGGGATAGTGTGTTGAAGCAAGGAGTTGAGTTAAAGCGCTACATTGTGTTGACATAAGAGCCCAGGTTCACATGACGAGGCTGACAGCTGTCTCGAGCGTCATGTAATTATATAAACTACTTAAAGAACAAGTTAAACCAAAACAGAACTAAGGGACCATATCCAAGCTCTCATGTGATATGTACAAGTTAAAAAGATTGACACTTTTCTTCGTTCCATGGAACTAAGCTTACCAAGTTACAGGACGTAAGGTATTTACGTAGAAGGGTATATCACCGAGATACGTAGTCTAAGCAAGCACACCGAGAGATCCATTTCGTACAAAGACGAATCGTATTCTTGCTGCATTGTCCAGGTATATATTGTCGGGGCATCGATATCAACAAGTTTAAAACACTTCTCTGTCTAACGGTTCGATGCGACCCAGCAAGGAGGCATAAAGGCCTTTGGTTACATGCACAGCTCATAGTTACAAAGACGTGAATAAAACCAAAGACAAGTATATATACACGAGTAACAAAATAAATAAATAAAAAACCGAAGTGATAGACAGCACGTCAATGCCCCTATAAACGAGTCGTCACTGCTGAGACTTGGCATGACCTTACTGTGAGCGGTCAGAATGTCATAATACGATTCGACTGTACAACCGCAATGTGAGAAACAAAGTAGTTGTCAATAACGCATGGGGAGGCTTTTTTCTTTTTGTTGGAGGTGGGTGAGTGATTGAAGCCGTGAGGCGATATATCTGATGAGGGAAAACACTCGATCATACAGAACCACAAGTTGCTCATACAAACATAAACACAAATTCAAGAGAACAAAATAACCTAGGAGACCGTATTCATCAGGATCGAAAGATAAATAGGACATGTCTGTACAAACATGACGATGACAGTCGATGTCAAGCTCTGAGTTGACTACCCTGCACATAGACGGTGATGCCGTCTGATCATGTAACTCGACAAGAACGAGACAACATGACCCCTTCAGAACACTAAAGCATCCAGGGGATGTCGACCATCCATGTGAGAGCATATCTAAAATGAAAGATGATGATGAAGACTTCATTTCTAAAGACAACATGTCTCCACCCAGGAATTCCTTTCAAACATCAACATCGATCGATGATCACAAGAGCTTCACTGCCAAGAGATATGCTGCTGTATAACAGGAAACAGAGACCAAGCATCTTCATATTATCCACTAGTCGCGCTCGCTATGAAATGTTTTTGGAGGAAGCTTCACCACGGGGAACAACGGCAACAAACAACCAGTGCAGAAGCACACAAGCAAACGACATATTGTATCCAGATACAACGACACGCATAGGACGCCAAGACAGGGAGCAAATGTGAAAGGACTTCATCGATGTGTAAGCCCCTAAACGTACAAGACTGGAACTTTGGGACACTGCTGAATCGCCCGGTGACTACCAGGGCAAAACCGAATTCATAAGCACAGCTTACAAGGCACAAGTATCTAGTGGAATATCATAACTTTTCATTTGTAGCCAACAAAGCTACGTGGGCCAAAAGCCCTCATCAAACAAACAAAAACACATCTGGTCGTCAATGCGCCTGCATGAAGCCGTCAATCACGACTGTTTGCCCACCAGCTGATGCAAGAAACCGTCTCCCCAAGCCAAGTCCTTGTATAGTCCTTGGAACCATGTTGCCAACGCCGCCTTCTTCGCTGCTCAAAGCAACAAGGGAAATCAACAATAAAACAACAAATGTCCTCCCATTTCCATACCTGGGTATCATTACATAATCTTGTGCGTCATCCTCGAAAGAAACCCTTAGTTATTTGTGGGATCAGGGAATGTGAAGCCAGCGGGAAAGTTGGGCATGCCGTTCGGCAGTGTGCCAATCCCAAAGGGGAACGAGGCAACCATGTTCTGTCCGTCCTGAGCAAGGTCGCGGTGATCGTCACGACGATTGTGGCCGTTGGAGCCGTTGTCTCTACTTCGGCGCCAACGGGAGAGGTCTTCGTCCCGATTGCGAGTTGACTTGGGACCGTTGCTACCGCCCTTGTCCGTTTGCATGCGTCGACTGATGGCCTTGGATGAGACTCCAGCTCCTATCTCGATATCGGGCTCCTCCACTGACAAGCCAGTCTCAATAGGTTGTCCACCGCTGCCGCCAAAGGGTGCGGTCAACATCCATTTGCGATCAGCTTCCGTCAACTTATGGATAGGAATAACGCTGACACCCGTTGAATAGTCGCTGCAGTCCCGAGGGCCGAAACCAACACCCCAACGAGTCTGGTAAAGTTAGCTCGAATCAATATGCAAAGGGAGTCTACAGTCACTTACACGAAGGGGCACTTCTAGATTGCGGGAATCCTCAGTGCCTTGCTTGGCGTTGACAGCATCCTGTCGGCTAAGCATCTTCACGAAAGCATGTCGCTTGTCCTTGTTCACAATGCATGTTTGCACCGTACCGAAGCGGCCAAAAATGCCGCGCAATTCACTCTCAGAGCAGCTGTTCCTTGGTTAGTTAACGATACGAATACAGATGAGGATACACCTACGTTACTCCACCAACAAACAGTGTTCGGCTATAGACCTTGATGTGTCCGGATGGAAGAGTTGGATCGTACTCGACCCATTTGTCGGCCGAGCCTTGTTCATGAAGTGGGGTCTCACTTCGTCCACGGTGTCCATGAGGGCTACGCTGGCGATATTCACCTCCACGGCGGTCATCATGACGACCACGGTTAGGAGAGTCACGGGCATAGTCTAGGCGATCACGTCCATTTCGAGGAGAGCCACGACCACCCCAGCCACGGTCAGGAGATCGCGAACGAGAACGTCCATGGAATCTAGGAGGAGATCTTGTATGGCCGTAGCCTGGCATACGTGAATCCTCTGGCTTGCCTGAAGGGCCACCCCATGCAGCTTGACTAGGAATTTGAGGACTCTGTGCATAAGGAATAGGCTGCTGAGCTGGGGGAGCGCCAGCTGCAGCCGCGGCTCCTGCACCACCCATACTTTGAATCAGAGCAGGAATCTTATCAAATGGAATACCTTGGTCAGCGAGCGCCTTAATCAGCATGATCTGCTGTTGGGTGTTTGGATCAAGCCCAAGGCCAGGTGCTGCTGCACCGGGCATGGCCCCGTTGACCGGATTAGTTGGGTTACTTGGGTTGTTCAGAGGAGACCCTGCATATCCATTCTGCGCCCCCATATGTGGGAGGCTGAAAGGAAGAGACGGCACATTTACGGGCTGCGACGCCATAGGATACGATACAGGCGGTGTAGCAGATGATACTGGTTGAGGTGGCGCGGCAGCTGGCAGGTTATACGGTGCTGTGGGAGCCGGCAAGGGGTTGGCAGGGGGAGCGGTTGTGTTTTGACGAGCGATGTTAGCCAAAGCCTCAAGAATAGATGTGCCGCTAGGAGCCGGAGGAGCTGAAGTCGTAGCGGGAGCTGAAGCGCTGCCATGCTGCGAGCCTAGCACATTGGGAGGCGGGCTACCGTCAGGAGTGGTCGATTCATCTATAACATCACATGGGTTAGACTACAAGTTGATTTGAGACAATAAAGCAGTACCGCTTGGGCATATGTCGCCAGGCGTGATACTGCTTGCGTGAAAAACGTACTCTGTGGTGGTGCATTGAGCTTCTCTCTAAAAGACTCGAGCATTGGTGTAGGGAACGTCTGGCCCTTCTCCCAGATATCAAGGAGCTTCTTAATTTTTTCCTACACGGTGGATTATGTGTGAGTTACGATCCAAATAAACAGTACGAAGGTCAAATATGTCAAGGAACGAAGGTCGTCAACAGAAGCGCCTTGTAAAGTGCTCCAATGTGCGCGGCACGTGGCAGTGACTGGTTGCCAGCTACATGAGGGTGATAGTCAGATTTGCGTACCTTTTGTTCTTCCGGGGCGGATTGCAGGATGTCATTCATCAAAACAGGCATGAGTTCTGTCACTCGGTTGACGCCAGCGGCATAGGTTCCATCCGGGGCAGAGCTGTTAATTGCCTGTGCCTGTGCCTTGGCTTGCTCGAGCCATTTCCGGGTTACAGAGTCTACGACGTAGAGTACCCCCAACTTGTGTGTTCCCGGTGTCTTTTTGAAGTGTGTGAAGATTTTCTGGATGAGGACGGATTCGGCCTGTTGGGACAAGCGGTTAGCGGTTGTTTGGCATTGAAGCAATTGGAGATGTTTGGTTCAGCCTTACCTGGATGTTGGAAACGCAAAGAGAGGTTAAACTGGTGATGCGAGATCCAGACACACCTGGCGGCTTCAAGTTGAGCATAGCCTGGAGACCAGCCTCCAAATCCGCGACTGCGGACGCCATGGTGATTTGTTTGAAGTGATTGTTATATTTGTAGTGCTTGTATGGTAGACTGGAGTAGTCGACGAGCTACGCGTGATGCCTCAAAATGCGATGCACTCCAGATATGGTCCGACAGCGAAATGACCAGAGGTGGACGATACCACTTGAAATGAAATGCCTGCAGCACAAGAGGGAGGCGAAGCAAAGGTAAGAGATGCAGAAGAATATTTCTGTCTGAATCAAAATTTCTTTGTCGCTTTATTCAGGTACGAAAGCTTAAGCGGGTCCTTCCTTCCTTAGGTGGGCAGGTAGAGATTTTTTCTTTTACGCAGTCGCGACTGGCGAGATAAGTAGTAGTAAGCAGTACGAGAGTAGTCCCAGTTATTGTAAGATAAAGTAGGTAATGTATCAGCTGGAAGTATGCGACGCAAATACAAATAGAGAAGGCAGGCCTCAGGAGTACGGGTACGACTTGTGCGAGAAAGCTCTTCTACTGTTTGCGTCAGGAGCGCGACGAGTCACGAGATTGTGCAGTGGGCGATAAAGCCAACAGAGATCGTCAAACGAGGAAAAAGTTGTCAGTACTAGAGACAGGGTCGGATAATAACTGCACTGGCGTTGTTTGCGTGTTCGCCTCGATGGGCGTTGTCGTCAAGTGTGATGCTGCTCTTTTCTTGGTTTGTGAGATGATGATAAATGAAGTGGGAGGAGAAAAGCTGAGGCGAAAGAGCGTGACAGGTGGGGCAGCCTTTTTAAGTGTCGCAGTTTGGTTCCAGGTCACTCAAATCTTTATTCCGGGTTTGGGTTTGGTGGTCCTAATAGTTTATCCGGTACCAACCCAGAAAAGGAAAGCCTCTGAACCTCAACAAACACCATAAGTTAACCATTGTGTCTGGCCAGCCTTGCACTGCAGGAATTCAGGCATTCACTACCGATGATGAGACAAAGCAAGGTAGTCCCGTTCTCATTTGTAACCGAGCTGTTTTCCCCAGGTATGACTGTTTCTTATTTATTACAGATACTGCTCCATGTATACTATATGTAAGTTACTGGGCATAACAAATCAGTGGAAATAGCCGTAACCATGTACGTCTGACTTATCCAGTTATTATCTATTCACGCTGTAAACTCTGCTGCTTGAATGTAGTCCCAACCAATGCCTGTATTCCAATCTGCAGTGAGAGTCAAATACAGTTACCTATTAGAAAACTTAGATTCATATATGCTTTGCAACCACTAGGTTATCATCCAGTGTACATAACAGGGACTTATCATGGTTTACATTTCCGGGTTGAATCCGTAACAAGCTTTTAGTGTCAGTGGAGTGCATGATACCCTAGATAAGGACACAGACAATACGAGGCCAATATAAGAGAAAGCAATTCTGTAAATGCGCGATTTCTTGTTGATTTTATGTAGTCTGTACGTAAAACTCGATGAAAAGCATGCACTTCGGCCAAGATACTGCGGTAATAAGCATGCTATCTTGTTTGAATCACGGATGCTGGGCTCCTAGATCATGAAGCGATATATGAAACGAATGGCTAATAATTAATAACAGATCATCGAGGGACCCACGATACATGCATCGTGATTATTCAAGAAAAGTATGACAAGAAACGCCAAGTTATTGCAGGCCATTAGAATGTGCTTGGAGACGACAGCATCACAAGACACAATAGCCGATGTTGGTGGTTTTGAAACAGCCGAGGTGACCGGGCGATCGGAAATACTATATTGAGTTGAGCACTCAATTCAAACAGGTTTCGTGATCAGATGTGATTATCTTGAAGAATGGCGGTTAGAGATCAGCTGTCCGGATGCTCCGTAGAGACCTCCTACTGGCCGGATGGAAGGGTACGTCGGCAGTCCGAAGCGCTGGCGGCGCTGGCTCGGAGGCCCGGCGATGGATCACGGTAGTTCCGGGTCGTCCTGTCCTCGTGCTTAATTCTAGGTCCGATGAACCCATCTTTGGTTCTGACGTCAAATCACGGCTACATCGATAATGGCCAGCATGACCGAGGTCCCACGAGTAATGAACCAAACAAATGAGTTGATTGTGAAGGTATCTCCACTTGTTCTCCCAGGGGCTCGTCTTGGTGGAGCAAAGAGCATGTCCATCATGGAGACAATCTTCGGAGGGTACAACAGTTCCGAAGTTGTCATGATGAGGGAAAATTTCGACGCTGAATGTAAACAACAGGGGGTAGAGCCTGGCTGGGTAGATCTTGACTGATTCCTTTTGACTCCATGCTCCCGCATATTGTTAAATATCAATGAATGTTGAGAAACACACAGACAACAACATCTGGTGCCGAGAAGCAGCAGCAAGCCCTCCCTCCATCCCTCACCCTGTTTGTTTGTCCTCACAAGCCAAGCCAACGCAACCCCCAGACCCAAGACCCAAGCCTAGACTATCACTAGCTGTTGGGGTTCCAACCTGTCTTTGGGAGGCAAGAATACTTGAGAATTCTATCCTGAGCGACAAAAAGACTTTAGTTGATATCCTGCGGCAATAGTGGAAATCTGGACCAGTTATTTTTGGCAGCCTCGCTCAAGATCCAAAGTTTTCTTGTTCCCTAAGGCCTGCATCTCGGCCATTTGGGGGAGGGCTTGGAGTGCGTCGAATTGGAGCTTGAGAACGCGGGAGAGGGACAGGGATTGAGGCCGAAATTTTGGGGCTTGCAGATGCAGGTTGAGGGGGCCCGCGGTAAATGTTCCTCTAGAGTCGTAGCTCAGTCACTTTTTTCCTGCCTGTGCAACCTCATCAAAATAAGAGGACAGTATGGCACCCGGGTCTTGGAGGGGACATATAGTTCCGGCGAGGTACTATCATGAGCAGTGATCGATCAGTTGGCAACGATGTATCAACTTGAACTGTTCACCTGAGATACGTAGACAGCTGCAAAAGGGCATAACCGAGGACTATTAACGGATGCTACCCAACTGGCAGTTGATGACGGAATACGGCTGGGTGGTATGGTCGAAAAAGAGGGTGCTGTGCTTTGCTCTTACTGTAGCGAGCTCTGATGTAATCGAGGGAAGATTAGATTGAACTTGACGGGCTAAAGTCAATTCTCCAACACACAAAAATGACGATTTCAATGACAGCTATTGACCTAATGAAACGTTGAAGCTCGTCAACCCCGCAAAGATACCTCTCCTCTACGTTTGGCATACAGGTATTGGCTTCATGATGTGAAGGACTGAAACCCCAGTAACAAAAGCAAAACAAAAGCGTTGTCCCCAGAAACGTCACCCCTGGTAAATCGGTGGAAGAAAAAAAAACTGGCTGAGGCTGTTCATCCAACCCCCCTGTGAAAGTCCATCCCGTAGAGCAAAACCGGGCTGTCTGTACTGTATCCTGCCCCATAAGTCCCGCTCCGCTTGATGCTTGATGCCCCCCGTACCCCCGGCCCCCGAGGTTCAGTACTCACAGCTACGGTAGAGCCAAGGTGAGAGGACAATGTCACAGAATGAGACGGGGTAGTCTACTTTTTTTTTGTGCCTCCCTCTCAAGCTTGCGCCTTTTTTTTATCGACTGGACCTCTTGGCTTACTTGAACCTCTTCCTCCCCGTTACCTGACTTAACCTACTTTTTCCTCCCCTCCACTCTATTCTATCCCTCATATACCTCTCCTCTCCCCTCCGGCATCTCCGCCTCTTGTTCCTGTTCTTGCTTTTGCACTCGTATCTTCTTCGTCTGCATAACTATCTCTCACAATGGCTTCTGTCGCCCGTCTCAGCAACGCTGCCCTGCGGGCTTCTCTCCGCTCTTCTCCTATCAATGGCTCTGTCTTCAACGCCGTTCGATGCTATTCGGCCAAGACTCAGGTAAGTTAACCTCGGATAAAGCACAAGCCCAGGCTTCATGGATCCTAAAACGTCATTGACGTTGCCCATTGACACTCATGATCGCCCACACAAACCACACAAAATTATATACTAACGATTATCCTCACAGACCCTGAAGGAGCGATTCGCCGAGTTGCTGCCCGAGAAGATTGAGCAGGTCAAGGCCCTCCGAAAGTCAGTCGCATTCTCCCCTCTCGGTTCATCGTTTGCCGAGCTAGGGCCCACGCCGAGCCTCAAGCTTGCAATCGACGGCAGAACCACCGGCAGTTGAACTTTGATCACTAACATTCAGATAGGGAGCATGGTTCCAAGGTCGTCGACAAGGTCACTCTTGACCAGGTCTACGGTGGTGCCCGTGGCATCAAGGCCCTCGTCTGGGAGGGTTCCGTCCTCGACTCTGAGGAGGGTATCCGATTCCGTGGCAAGACCATCCCCGAGTGCCAGGAGCTTCTCCCCAAGGCTCCCGGTGGCAAGGAGCCTCTTCCCGAGGGTGAGCTTAACCCATTCGCAGTGATGCGCACAAAACCCTCGCAATATCATGAATACTAACATTAAACCGCGCAGGTCTCTTCTGGCTTCTCCTGACCGGCGAGGTTCCTACTGAGCAGCAGGTCCGCGACCTCTCCGCTGAGTGGGCTGCCCGCTCCGATCTTCCCAAGTTCGTCGAGGAGCTCATCGACCACTGCCCTACCGACCTTCACCCCATGGCCCAGTTCTCTCTGGCTGTCACCGCTCTCGAGCATACCTCCAGCTTCGCCAAGGCTTACGCCAAGGGCATTAACAAGAAGGAGTACTGGGGTTACACTTTCGAGGACTCCATGGACCTTATTGCTAAGCTCCCCAACATTGCTTCTCGCATCTACCAGAACGTCTTCAAGGGCGGAAAGGTCGCTCCCATCCAGAAGGACAAGGATTACTCCTTCAACTTCGCCAACCAGCTCGGCTTCGCCGACAACGCCGACTTCGTCGAGCTTATGCGTCTCTACCTCACCATCCACACCGATCACGAGGGTGGAAACGTCTCTGCCCACACCACTCACCTTGTCGGCAGTGCTCTCAGCTCTCCTTTCCTCTCTTTGGCCGCTGGTCTTAACGGTCTTGCCGGTCCCCTCCACGGTCTTGCTAACCAGGAGGTCCTGAACTGGCTCACTGAGTTCAAGAAGTCTGTCGGTGACGATCTCAGCGACAAGGCCATCACTGACTACCTCTGGTCCACCCTGAACGCCGGCCGTGTCGTCCCCGGTTACGGCCACGCCGTTCTCCGAAAGACTGACCCTCGTTACATGGCTCAGCGTGCTTTTGCCCAGGAGAAGATGCCTAACGACCCCATGTTCAAGCTCGTTTCCCAGGTCTACAAGATCGCCCCTGGTGTCCTCACCGAGCACGGCAAGACCAAGAACCCTTACCCTAACGTCGATGCCCACTCCGGTGTCCTTCTCCAGTACTACGGACTTACCGAGGCCAACTACTACACCGTCCTCTTCGGTGTCTCTCGCGCCATTGGTGTTCTTCCCCAGCTTATCATCGACCGCGCTCTTGGTGCCCCCATTGAGCGACCCAAGTCCTTCTCCACCGACAAGTGGGCCGAGCTTGTCAAGAAGCTGTAAGGAGTTTAAAAATGAAAGGGAAAAAGGAGATGGGAGGGTAATGCTCAAAAGATGGGCAGAATGGATTGCCAAGTTAATGGCATTTGTACAACACAATGGGACTGTTTTAGTTTAGTAATGAGCAAGTCGTCGCGGCGCGCCGATTGAAATGAAATGATTTAACAGTTAATCTGCAATTTTCGTGTCTACGGGCTGATACCAATCATGACTACGATCAAGCTCTTTGCAAATACGATTGAGCCAGCTGTGTGTTGCCATACATCATGTTCACCAATACCGTGATAGCGTTGTTGCTTCGAACTTTTTTGTCTTTGGTGGAGACGGGAATGTTGACCCCATGAAAAGTTCTTTACATTAGCCAGCCTCGCAAGCCGGGACAACTCACCTTTCTCACCAGTAGAAAGCCCATGCGTCTGGTTCAAACTTTCAAGGAGACTCAAGAATTGTTGAATTCTCTCTCCCATCTGCAGAAAAACCCTGCATCGTAAATGTGACAAGTGAATAATGTACGTCACGTAGTCTCGGTGAGAGATTACACCGACAAAATCCCATGTGGGATCCATCCATTTCAGGGACCCGAGCTCTCAACAGTCTAGACATTCTTTCAATCGGTTGGGTGGTGGAGGGGCGTTGAGAGCTCCTGGCCCCTCTAATTCGGCGCCACAGGGGGACGAAAATAGAGGTGAGAGAGCTGTGATCTTCCGGGGGGTGGCTGAGGTTATTGCCCGATGTGGAAGTAAGAGAGCTGCGAAGCTGCTGGATTGATTGTTGAAGATGTATGTTTCAGGGTGTAGTGAATTGTTTGCAGTTTGCGAGTGATAGTGAACTAGATTGGCTGTGAGTTGTTGAGGTCTAGATTTGAAAGCTTATGATAACTGTGCTCAGCAGTTGTAAGCAATCTGGATCTTTTGGTGTGAGTGAAAATACGGAGAGCTTCAGACGTGGGTGGGCTTGGTCAGTCTTATGAATGAAGAAGATGAATACAAAGAAGAATCTAGAAAATCACTATCACAAGCAAATCTGCTCCCGCGGGATCTCTCTGTCGGCCATTGAACCCCAGGCCATCCACCCCGGATTCCGATTTCACATGAGAGATCCAATCCAATCCACGGGAGCTGATCTGATCTCGGTGACTTGATCTCGGCGATCCGAGACTTTCGGAGCTGGAATTAAGTCGTACAAGGAAGAGAAGTCTCCGAGGAGGGTTGATTGATTATTCGGAGAAAGGTCAGCATTATGAAAATTTACTATAGATGATCATTGATTACATTTTCTTCCGTTTTTTCTCGTTGTTTTCTAAGAATAGTGATGTGGCTCTCAGCTTGTTGAATAGCGTCGTCAGCCTTATAAACGTGCCAACATGAGTAAGTACTGTACAGTGGCTTCACCCGAAATAAACGAGAAACATACACCGAAACACATGCAAAACATGACTGATTAACTGAGCTTCTCTCTAAGCTCGGGTCTTCTCGCGCATGCCAATCTCCATTTACAGCTTCAACCTCGGCGATTGACCTCCGCAACCGCAGGAAAACCCCATCTATCGTTGGTATTTCCCCTCCGATAAATCGGCTACTTCTCCGGGGTCTCCCCCAAGCTTATTCTGCTTAGCCTCAGCTCAGCGCTTTTGCAGCCATCCATTCAACTGTTTTCATTGGATCTGACTCAGCATTTAGGTGTGCTTCGATACCGGTACGTACCAACAGTCCCTCAATCCCTAGCTCTCCCGGGTACTGCTCCTTCCCCCCACGTAAACCAGTCCCAGCACAGCACACGCCTCTAGCTCTCCCTTTTCCCTTTCTTCCCCGAATTCTTATACACTTCTTTTCTTCCTCCTTCATCAACCTCTCTCAATACTTCAACGATCCCCCAAATTTCCCCAGCGACGAAGCACCCTAATCCCTTGGTCAGGGCCCCTATTCTACGACACTCCCAAAGTCATGGCTGCTACTATCCGTACCGATCTTCCAGCTCCCATTGGGGACAAGCAGCTGGAGAAGAAGCCCATCAAGTTCTCCAACTTGCTTCTCGGCGCCGGTCTCAACCTCTTCGAAGTGACCACCCTCGGACAGCCTCTCGAGGTCGTCAAGACCACCATGGCTGCCAATCGAGGTGACAGCATGGCTGCGGCTTTGGGACGCGTCTGGGCCCGTGGTGGTCCCCTGGGCTGTAAGTTGATAACCACAAACTCGCCGCACTGATGACTATTTACTGACTCACATGTTGCAGTCTACCAAGGTCTCATTCCCTGGGCCTGGATTGAAGCTTCCAGCAAGGGCGCCGTCCTTCTCTTTGTCGCCTCCGAGGCCGAGTACTACGCACGTGTCGCTGGTGCCTCTGAGTTTGGCGGTGGTATCATTGGTGGTGTCACCGGTGGTGTTGCCCAGGCTTACGCCACCATGGGTTTTTGCACCTGCATGAAGACGGTCGAGATCACCAAGCACAAGATGGCTGCCACCGGTGTCAAGCCCCAGTCAACCTTCCAGACCTTTGCTGAGATCTACCGCAAGGAGGGTATCCGTGGCATCAATAAGGGTGTCAACGCTGTCGCTATCCGACAGATGACTAACTGGGGTAGTCGATTCGGTCTCAGCCGTCTCGCTGAGGGTTGGATCAAGTCCCTCACTGGCAAGAAGGAGGGCGAGAAGCTGTCCGCTGGTGAGAAGGTCATCGCCAGTGCTCTTGGTGGTGGTCTCAGCGCCTGGAACCAGCCCATTGAGGTTATCCGCGTTGAGATGCAGAGCAAGAAGGAGGATCCCAACCGTCCCAAGAAGATGACGGTCGGCAACACCTTCAGGTACATTTACGACACAAACGGCATCAGGGGTCTTTACCGTGGTATCGCTCCCCGTATTTCTCTTGGTATTTGGCAGACTGTCTGCATGGTTGCTTTTGGCGATATGTAAGTTGACCCGCTTTGCTAAGATTCAACCAACACTAACCGCACGACTACAGGGCGAAGACTTATGTTGAGAAGCTGACCGGCGAGTCGGTCACCGCTAAGCATTAGAAGGCGTTTAGGAATCTGGTTTGAAAATATCGCTCATGGTGAGCTTGATGTATGGATTGTCTAATGTTTGGATTCGAATATCTCTGATGTAATGACATAAGCCTGTAAAAAGGCTGTGACAACGGAGGTGCTCGCGCCTTGAAGATTATCTTTCTATGATAGTTAGCTGTGCAAAGTCATGTACCCTGTGGGTTTGACTTGAATAGAGAAAACAAGTGCGCAATGTTTTAGTCTTCATTGCTAGTGATGATATTTATCCTGACTCTACGGTTCAAAACACTGCAGAACATTCATACCATATCACTAAAGAATATCTTAATTCACCAGCCTCTTTACAATTGTCATGGTTTCTTGCTATCATAAAGCTGCCATGATATTGTTGAGCTCGAAGCTATGAGCTCGGGTGGTTTCGGGTCTGAGCGTTGAGTAGTGGGGTCGACCAGTTGAGAACAAAACTTGTCGATCTCAGTTCTTGAACCTTATGAGATGAAGCATATTGACTGCAACCTGAAACAGTCCGAAGTGCCCATGTTCTTCCTATTTTCACTTTTACAGGGCTATAGGTTGACATAGAATAACACTTGGAAAATTCAACTTTGAATATGTTGTCATTGGTCTGATTAACGACTAAGTAAGTACTGCATATAGGACCCCAAGATGCTGTTCAATCGCTAGCACTTCCGTTAAGCTTCCCCGTCGAAGCTCATGGTTTCTTCATATGTAAAGCCCCAATCCTCCTCAATACTTAGTAACGTAGCGGATTTGACAAGTTCTTTCACTTCACTGTCTTTTAAATGATTCACATCCAAGTCCTTGCTCGCATTCTGAGCATGGATGCTACGAAGACGCTCATCGGGTAGTGAAGGGGTCCTAAGCCGTCGCACCGAACGGCGTCTTCTGCCAAGACTAGCGGCCTCGCTATCCTTTTGTCGCCGCTCGAAATGAGCCAGGAGAGGCGCTGAGGGGTCTTCATCATAGTGAGCTTCTCGGCGGTAGAGGTTGGTGGATTGGTAGCGGGGGCCTTGTACAACCCCTATAACTGGATTTGATGTAAGCTTTAGACATTGGCTGTCTAAATACGCTCGTCTCGAATAATCAGCGATATCTGCGTCTGAAAGCTCATCATCGGTGAGCATCTCATCGTCCTCCCTCGCCGGGGTGGGTGGAGCTGGTTCCGGGTGTGGAATTATGGGTATAGGCCGGCGTCGGCGCCGAGTGGTGCCCGGAAGTGTCATCATATGCGACTCTGGGATATCCCGCTCATCAGTTGATAAGATGAAGCAACGGCCTGTGGCATCGCCGATGGCGAGCTTGGAGTTGTCCGGGGAGAAACCGCCCCACGCAATCGGTCCAGGCGCTGTAAGAATATCGCGGACAAAAGGGTTCTTCAGCTTACGGACATTCCAGACCTTCACCGCACCGTCACTCGATCCAGTGTAGAATCGATCAAGACTCGTATTCCACGCTGTGAACTTGACGCCAGTGTCCTCTTTCTCGCGATCGCCGTAATACTCTTCGATAGGTTTCCCATGTCGTAGCGTATGGATGGGCTTGTCTCCCTGTGCTGTGTCCCATACGTACACCTTTCCGTCTGTACAAGCCGCAGTCACGTAGGCGTGTCCGGGCGAGTTGGGCACAATCGTCAGTTCGTTGATGTCAGACGCATAGCAGTCGAGAGCCTGATGCTGACAAAAGCCAATGCCATTCAAGCGATCCTTATCGCGATGAAAGACGTGGACTTGTGTCCTAACATTGCGGGGAACGTTGTTCATCCCCGTGGGTGTTACCCCTACCAGAAAAAGGAGTAGTGTTGGATGCCAGGCGACTTCGAAGACGTTAGCCGTTGAAGCTGTCATCACAGGGATTCTAACACCCTGTTCCGCATCCCAGAGGATAATCTCTCCTGAACTCCTCTTGTCCTCGGGAATGTCCAGATCGTCGCCTGTCAAGCTGCGAGGAGAGTACCCAACAAGAAGCAAATGCTGACAGCCGTTAGCTCGCCCCCACTGCATTGTTGCTGGGAAGTATGCCCACTTGTCTGAGCCATCAGCGTCAGTTCGTGAGCATGAGAACGTCTGGTAAGTACTGTTCGACTCATTTCCTCTTGTAATGGTGTAGATACGCACGGCATCGGTTGGTGAGTCTGCAGCTGTAGCCACGCGACCAGATCCATCCTTTGCAGCAGCCACGAAGTTGACATTACCTGTGTGTTGCCATGTTGCAATGGCCTCCATGTGTTCTCCTTGCGGGTCAACCCTCCATATTTTGACCGTCTTATCAAAACTCGACGTATATGCCAAGTCATCTTCCACGCTGTAGTCGCATGACACAACCGATGAGTACAGCCAAGGGTCTTGGCTCTGGCGCATGGCTTCCGTGGAATTCTCCCCCTTTTCGACCCGTGGACGAGGTATTCGGTGATCGGGAAAGGACCGCAGCGCCCCCTTTCCAGTTGAACAAAGAAGCAAATTTCCAGGCCTGTTGTACTGTTGGTTATGCGTATCGGAGTGTGTAGTAGTGCCACAAAGAAAGGTCTCTCTCGAGACCCATGCACCTGTGGTGATATCACCAGCGCAATTGGTGAACTCAGCTACGACCTGGAGATCATCCTCGCGCAATCTTTTAAATTCGGCTTGGAAGTTCAAATATTCCCGGGTTCGTTGGAAGCCCTGGTTGCCTTCCATTTCTCGAGCCATCAGTAAAGAAGAAAGTCTGCTAGTCCTTCTCATTTGACCTTGTCGTTTTTTTGTCTCCTCCGTAACATGCTCAGCAGTGAATGAGAGGACTCGTGGTGTCTCTGCGACCTTTCCTGCCCACAGGTCTGAAGCAAAAGCGCTCATGTCTCGTATGGTTCGTCCAGGTATCGGTATCAGAGGGCGGTTTCGTAGTCGGATTTGCTCCATCAAAGAATCGCGGGTTGCCGGTATGTGCTTGTTCTCATTTTGTGATATTTGGTCTATAATCTCGGCGATCTCCTCAGGGCTGAAGTCCACATGATAGACAATGGGCTGTGCGATAAGTTCATTGTTGACAGCCACCGGCTTCTTTGTTCCCTCTTCAATAGCTTGGCGATGCGCTGCCGAAAGATAGGGTCGTTCGGAAATCTGGTAATAGCGGTTACTTGGCTTCGGTTCCTGTCGCTCCCGAGGTTTATAAGGCTGCCTTTCGACATATTCGGGACGCTCTGGTTGAAGTCGGGGTTGTGAAGTGAGTGCGTCGTAGAATATGGGAGAGTCCCGTTCTTCGGACTTCCTTGTTACTTCAATGTTCACGATCGTCGGCGATGTTTGGCCTCGCGGCTGAGGTTTCGGGGTTGACCTCGGTGGTGGAGAGAGCTGAGGCTCTGGTGTCTCTGAAGATAGAGGGGATATGCGAAACTCCTTGCAATTGTTAGCAACAAGCTCCAGCCGCGGCTTCGTCACACCCACAGAACCCCCCGCCAGACCCCTAACAACATCATGCGCCTGGATCGCAAGCACGTCTAGGTCCTGCTGACTCAAGTAGCCACCTGTCTCGTCCCATCTTCTCCTAAAGAACTTGTTGATGCTGAGCTCCGTCACCGTCTAGACCCATAGTTAGCCACAGGACCTTCCCATATATAGCCTTCTTTGTTACCTTAATAGCCAGGGCGTTAACATGGTAAACATCCCTCGAGAGATGTCCAACAGCCCTCTCTACAAGCGGCGTAACCTGGCTCAAGAGGCACTCTTTGACGCCTCGCTTTCGCTGTAGGCCTGTACTAACTCGTCTCCGTTTCGGAGGTGGTTCATCGCAGGGGACCGGGAGGCTATTTAGTATAGGTATAGGTGCATGCGGCATGCCGCCATGCTTGACGAGTGACCTTGTAATTGTTGTTGTTAGCCCAAAACCCATGAGGAAACGCGTTGAGGATTTGAATAAGAAAGGAAAAGGACCAGAAATATGACGTTCAACGCGTAAAGGACGTGAATCACTTACTTCATAGCCCCATTTAGCGTTGATGTGGTGATAAGGTGGGTTACAAGCATTAGAATAGTGTCTAGTAAGCCTAAAAAGGAGAATCTATTAATCCGAGCTACTAGTATTAGTTAAGTTAAAATAATTATAAAATATTTAGTTATAAGTTCTTTAATACATAAACCAGCTTAATTTCACTATTTAGAAATTATAGTTTTTTAAAAACTTTATAAAGCTTAAAAAAGATATTATAATAAGTAAAAATTAATATTACTTTTAATAAAAGCTCTTAAATATAATACAAAATAATATCTTAACTATTTATAGATAGATTTAAAAAAAAATAAAAAAAATTAAGAACATTAGCTATATAACACTTTTAACAGTTAATTATCAGCTATAAAAGCATCTCCAAGAAGTGAGGGAGCATCAATCAATACGTAAGGCAGCTCTATACATTGATGGTATACTGTAATATTCATTTACAAGTTCAAGCCGCTCAATATCTTCAACATATATAGAAAATCTGAAATGCAGCTCTAACGCCAAGAAGAAAAAACATCTTTGAGCTGATAATCGCAACATATTTTACAGCTTGTTCTTTCCAACAGGCTCCTGGGCAGCAAGCTCCTCATACATACGGTCAATATGCTCCCTGTAGGCCTTGGCGGCCTGGGGGCGCTTAAGCTTAAGCCTAGTAACAGCGTTAGCACATATACTCCAGAAGAGACAAAATTAGGGGGAAAACTTACGTAGGGGTAAATAGACCGTTGTCAATGGTAAAAGGATCAATTTCGAGATGGGCATTGCGCACCTTCTCGAAGCTGTTGAACTTGTGCTTCTTGCCAATACCGTCAAGGACCTTGAGGAACTTGGCTTTCACCTTGGGGTCGTTAGCGGCGACGCGGAGATCAGCGACCTGGTTGGGTGCGATGGTCTCCTGGAGAATCTTGCTAGCGAAAGGAGCAAAGTTCTCAACGTCGATACCAAAGATGGCGACCAATGAGGACTGAGTACCGTCACCGTGAACATAGGCGGCGTTGATGAGGTTGGTGCTACCCATGTAGACGTTCTCAATGCGCTCAGGGGAGATGTACTCACCCTGAGCAAGCTTGAGAACGTTCTTCTTGCGATCAATGATCTTGAAGCGGCCCATCTTGTCAACCTCGCAGATGTCACCACTGTGGAACCAACCATCGGCGTCAAGGGTCTTCTCGGTCTCTTCGGCGTTCTTGTAGTACTCGCGGAAGATGACGGGACCGCGGAGGAGAAGCTCACCACGAGGGTTAGGCTTGTCATCCACGGTGTAATCAAACTCGGGAACAGACTCGAGGCAGAGTTCCACACAGCACATGGGGCCGCCGATGTTGCCGGTAGTAAAGTCACCGCGTGCCTGGATAGATCCGACGGCATACGTCTCGGTCATGCCAAAGCCCTGAGCGAAGTGGTTCGCGAAAGCGGCGCGCAGGAACTCTTGGACATCAGGATCAAGCTGGGCACTGCCGCTGACCATGCTGTGGACTCTGTCCATGCCCACAGCGGCCTTGACCTTGGGGGTCCAGATTCGGTCGTACAAGAAGTGGGTGTTGGAGGCCTTTCCGGGAGGCAGTCGCATATTGGCCTTCTTGGTATCAATGACACGTCGTGAGAGAGCGCCTCGGACACCATCGGCTTCAATAGTAGCAGTGCGAATGGCGGAGTTGAACCGGTTGAAGAGACGAGGAACTGAGATGAAACCAGTGGGCTTGAGGATCTTGATATCATCAACCAAGCCCAGAATGTCACCTCGGAAGAAACCAATGGCAGCACCCTCAGCAACGGCGATCTGATCGATGAGTCGTCCGTAGATGTGAGCTAGTGGTAGATAGGACAAGTGGACATCCTTGCTGCTCACATTGCCATTTGTTCGACCACCGGCGATGGCAGAAACGGCGTTTCCATGGGTGATGAGAACACCCTTAGGGTTGCCAGTTGTACCGGAGGTGTAGTTGATGGTGCAGATGTCATTGCGGCTGGGAGCACGAGGAGCGCGTCCAGACTTGGCACCAATCTCCTCAACCTGAGTCATGGAGTAGATCTGGATGCCATGTTGAGAAGCAATCTCATTGAGGACAGAGGCCTTGGTGTGAGAAGCCAATTCACCCTGCTCAAGCGGATCGAGAGAGACGATGAGCTTCAGACCAGGTAGCCGGGGAGACATCTTGAGAAGAACAGGGATGTGGGGGAGGGAGCAGACAACACAGGCGACCTCGGCATGATTGATGATGTATTCTGTTGTGTCGGGACCAAGAGTTTCGTAGAGAGATACCGAGTAAAGTGATTGAGAAGCAATACCGAAGTCTAGTAATGAGTGTGTCAGCAGCTACAACCACATGCTCCATGTCTCTTATGCAGGTTCACGGCACAAGAGGGGCAACCTTACCGGCGATCTGCCACTCAGCCCTGTTTTGCGACCACAAACCGACACCGTACTTTTCAGGAGAATAGTTGATGGCCTTGTGAATCTCAACGAGACCGGCACCGAAATTCTTCCTTCGGACGTCGAAATCACCGTAGTTGATCCAGTCGTACTTGTCCTCCCACTGCTGAGTCGCCTGGTTCCAATGACGGGTTCCGAGACATTTCGAGTTGGGCCACTTGCGCGCACTCCTCTCAAGGACGTCGTGTGTCGAATTGATACCAGGCTCTAGTGCTGTGACGAGAGGACCATCGCCGACTGCCCAGTGTCTGTAGGCGGCGGTGCGGTTAGGTCGTTCTGTACCGGGGACGGGAATACCGTAGGGTTTTCCGGGGGGAGGGACAGTGGTGAGCCTCTTGTATAGGGCGTCGTAGTCTTTTTGTGTCTGGAGAGCCATGGTGAAGATCGGAGGCGAGGAGTCAAGTTGTTGGAGGGGTTACAGTTCTGGCGAGGCGAGGCGAGGCGAGACAAGGACACAAAGACACGGAGCGAGTCGATTGCTGCGGGGAGAAAAGTATGCTTGGAGCTGTTCTGTTACCCAAGCGAGAGAGTGAGTGGGATGAAGACAATGGGTTGGTTGGTTGAATGCAGGTATTCAGAGGAACACAAGCACAAGGAGCCAGTTGACTGATCCCTTGCAGATAATTTACTGGTAAGGCTCAATCACAGAGTGAAAGCAAAAAGGGGAGGGAAGAGGTAGGAAAAGAGGAACGAGATGAGGATTGGGGTTTTGAAGAAATTCAGTTCCAAGACTTTCTGGACAAGTTTCCGAGCCTGGCGAACGCCATCAAGTTAAGCGCAGAAGTGGAAGAGCGCAGACCGAGGCGCGTTGCGCAGTCTGGTACGCCATTGCGCCCATGTGCCTCGGCAGCCCCAGATTTCGTGGAGTAGCACAGGCCTGTAGCTAGCAGAATATGGGATAGCGGCGCTTGGAGAAGACCTGGGGGAGTTGATAAATTCCCCTGATTCATTCATTCCCCCGCGATACATCCATTGATACAATGTCTCTTGAATCCTTGAGGCGCGGGACGTGGCCCTTTTTGAGTCAAGTGAACCGAGGATGTGATTATAGCATCCACAGTTGCAGCTGTGTATGGGGTTTATTGGAGAGAATGCGGGGGGAACAGACTCATACCCTCGAAATCCTCATTCAATCCAATAATTCAGAGCAATACTTTCAGCTCGTCAGCACTTGTGTCTACCTATGGTTTAGAGGCACATCAGCAGCTAAGATACACAGCCAAGAACGAGAAGCAGCACAAGTAGGTATCACCAAACTACACATGCGTAACACATCAGAATCCATCACTGGTTCTCGTCGTAAGCACCTTGTTGTACCCTCCGATCCAATTCAATGGAAGGCTCGGGCGTCCAACGGACGCTAGTTCTCCCGAAGACCTGGAGATCACTGTCGTCAGCTGCAGTTGGTCAGTTTTCACAAACCGGTACGTCCGGGCCCTTTAGCTTTTTTCTTGAAGGTTTTCGGTTACATGTGAATATCCATCGATGACAAAAATGTGGCTGAATATTGGACTGAATTCCCTCTTGGTGTTGCGGCCTGCTGATCTTGTCGTTCCTCGTGATCCCTACCACAAGCAATTTTCTATTGGGTGTTATATACCCTTGAGGATTGCTATGTATCTTGCAACCGTATTCAGTTCTTGGTGTTTCGCCCGACACTCCTCGAGTCTTCCTACATTTTACCGTAAAGAGACTGATAAGTGCCTGCAACTATAAGCGAAGTGTTTGACATCTGGCTCTTTCCAACATGCCTCATAGTTCTCTCTCCCTGATTGGACCAGCCTGAGAAGTCATGAGTTTCGAACTCTCCAAACTTCAGCTCGCTAAGAATCTCTTTCTTCTCCCATCATCTCTAACCGAGTCTATTTCTATGCTTAAAAACAACCTCGAAACAAAAACTGCTTCACTGCTAACAGGTTCAGCCAACTGACACAGCGACGTTCAATCCTCGAAACGACGTCATCACCTTCAATTATGGATCACCTTACCTAACACCAACACTTTGTTCAGTGTCAAAGCGGCTCGCGTCAACACGTGCACTTCTTGATGGCACTCTCGACATTGGATGAGTTGGCATAACCCGTGCCGATCGCCATCACAAATTCGCCAGAAACATCGTATCTGGCGCCAAAAGCATGCCACCTATCAATGCTCCCCATCGCGGACGTTGTATTCGGCGCTTGTCGTCTCGACAAAACACACCCGATAACGATGGATCGAGTGATCTTTTCAGTTCAATTCAAGTTGAACAGCCACATTGGGACATGAAGCAACAGTAATCCTGCGGCAAAGATATCTGGTCTGTTAAAAGTTACCACGTTCTTAAGCCTCCTTTTCAATGTCCCAAGGATTAGCCGCTCAGGTATGCATAAATCCAAGATCTACCGAGATCTACAACAAGCCCGTCTCATACAGCGACACTCGCGGGGTTTCCCTTTTGGAAATTACAGTTGTTTTA